TACCCCCCTTAGAGAGACCTGACCACCTCCCCACCACCCACCCTTACTTCTCCCTTTGAGAAGGGGTCAGATGGTGATCTTTGCCCTGTTCAGGGATTTATCTGGATTTCTTCCAAGGGTCCTGCCCTACCGCCACTGACGGAGCAGACACATAAAAGATGGCGGTTGTGTTTTCTACTTCAAGTTCAATAAATAAATTAAAAAGTCCCAATAACTTTATAGCAGTTGGGGGTGGGGAGAGTTCTCTGCCCAGTTAAGCCTGGTATATAGCATTAAATAAAAGATTGTGCATCATGAAGATGCCACAGGGAGAAACAGAACGCAAAATTTCCCCAACTTAACCACCAAATCTTTTCTTCACGGACCATCTCATGAGGCTAAGTGTTCTGCAGAGCATGCTCTGAGGAAGTGTAATTTTCCCCCCTTAGTCATCTCAGGGCTCTCTGTTTCAAATGACCTGTGTGCCCATGTAGTGGGCCCAGGAAACAGCACTGGTGTCAGCAGGGCTAACCTGGGCTGCACGGAAAGAAAAGATGACGTCACGGTTTTCACACCCTCAGTTCCTTTTTCAGCAACTGAGTGGTCTTCTAACCATGGCATATTTGTTTACCTATTAGCACCTCTGCATTGTACAGAACAGTCCCCTCTGGGTGCTTGTACCATTCTTTTTTGTTTTTAAACCACTTTGTTTGTTTATCTGTTCGTTCATTTGTTTTAGAGAAAGAGAGAGAGAGAGGAAGGGAGAGAGAAACATCAATTTGTTGTTCCACTTATTTGTGCATTCATTGTATTTGTACCATCCTTCTCTAGATTCGTCAACCTGTGTGGTGAGTCAAAGAACTGGTGCTGGCCCTCGATCTGTGGTTTTTGGGCAGCTCTACAGAGTGTGTTTTGCAGAATAGTTAGTCTCATGTGCCTGTCTCTACACGCTGGCCAGGCTTTTTTTTAATTTTTTATTTTTATGGCAGAGAGCTTGCCCAATGCACCTCCCTGGAAACTAGCACAGTTCCAGACCCAGGCGGTGTTTGGTAAATGTTGTTGAAAGAATGTGCCCCACATGATCCACTCACTAAAAGCCAAGGCCATGTTCTCCTCTCCAAAGCCAAGGCCATGATCTACCTTGCTCATAACAGCGTTCTGTCTGTACTTAAATAAATGGGATTATAATTATAACCCCTTCACTTTGAAGATAAATTCTCGGGTATGTTGCCCCCTCAGAAACAGAAATTCGGCCTCATATAAGCTAACATTTCTAAATTTTATTCCAAGCATGTTCCCTTATATAACTTTTCCATGGACAATCTCAGACCTGTTTTCTCATTGCTCACTCCTCTGGGAATTCTCCCAATATTTGCTATGGTTTCATCACGTCCTTTTTAACTTTTTCTGCTACGTGACGCTTATTTTGCTCTGAAGATTATGTTTGGGCCAAGCCTGAATGAGGGCGCCACTTCCTTTTCTTTGAATATCATTTGCCTTCTTAAGATGAAACACATTACTAAAAGATTGCCTTAAACATACACACACGCACTCACGCACGCACACATGCATGCACGCACGCACATATTGTACATATAAGAAGCCATGTTCTTTTTTTCTTGATCCAAAGTTTTATTACTTTACCTACCATGTTTCCCCCAAAATAAGACAGTGTCTTATATTAATTTTTGCTCCCAAAGATGCGCTAGGTCTTATTTTCAGGGGATGTCTTATTTTTCCATGAAGAAGAATACGGTACACATTTATTGTTAAATGAAAATAAAGGAAATTTATTACCTGTATACAGTACGGTAGTACGGTAGTTGTCAACACAAACCAGACAAACTGAATCCTACAGTATCAAGAATTTACTCATTTATTCAATGACAATCATGTCATCATGGAATGGTAGTACGGTAGTTGTTAACACAAACCAGACAAACTGTAAATCCTACAGTATGAAGTATTTACTCACTTATTCAATGACAATGACATCATCATCTTCTGAAACATCATCATAACAATCCAATTCCTGAATTTCCTGGTGAATTTCTTGTGACTCCATTTCTTTCAGAATCAGTGGACCAAATCTCTCATGTTTAGCCTAGCGGGGCCTTATTTTCAAGGGATGCCTTATATTTCACTCAGAAGGAAACTTGTAAGTAGGTCTTATTTGCGGAGGATGTCTTATTTTAGGGGAAACACGGTACTTGCCAACTTCCCAAAAGATTAAGTGAAATCAATCTGTTGGTTCATTTCTGAGATAACTCAGTGTATCTTGTCCACTAATACTGTCTCTCTCTCTCTCTCTTCCTTTTCTTTCTCTTCCGTTACACAACACACAATCACAGACACACTCTGGGTTTACTTTGTACCTCCAGTTCTCGAGTAGACTAGAGATCACTTTGGGAAATATGTGAAAGACAAGAGATTACCGTCTTACTCATCTTCTACAACTTTCCAGCCCCTTTACCAGACCTTTTCATAAAGATTTTTTTCCTCCTTTTTTAATGGAGAAAATTACAAAACACATTTCAGGATGTGCCTCTCAAAGATAAGAACACTTATTAAATATAACCTCCCTACCATTACCACATCAAAAAGGAACAATGATTTTGTAATAGTGAAAAACTAGGCAGTGTACCTCTATTTCCAATTGTTTCACAAGGTCAAATGTTTATCATGTTGTTGTTTTATTAAATAAAAATCAAATTCCAAATAAATTCCCCATGTTGTGATTGGTCAATATGTCTTTTACTATCATCTCTTTTTTTCGTATAATTTATTAATGAAACTCAGTTGTTTGTCCAGTAGCATTTCCCACAGCTAAAATTTTCTGAACAAATCCTTGGGGTGCAGTTTAGTATCCACAGGATTCTGAAATGTGACTGTGTTTCCCAGATAACCTTTTCATTTAATAACTGCCCTGCTTTCAAGGGGCAGCACAACAAAAAGAAAAAAAAATAGCCCTAACCAGTTTGGCACAATGGATAGAGCATCGGCCTGGGGACTCAAAGGTCCTAGGTTCCAGTCAAAGGCATGTACCTTAGTTTCGGGCACAACCCCAGTAGGGGGTGTGCAGGAGGCAGCTGATTGATGTTTCTCTCTCAACGATGTTTCTAGCTTTCTCTCCCTCTCCCTTCCTCTCTGTTAAAAAAAAAAATCAATAAAATATATTAAAAAGAAAAAGAAAAAAATAGTTGGGGTATGTGGGGATTGTGTGGGGGTGTGGAGAGGTGGGGGGGGGGGGGGGGGGTGGGCAGGACCAAACATGAGGGAATTAATTTCCTCTAAGCATCCACTAGAGGTCAACATTTGCCTTAATATTATATTTTCCCTAAGTTTAAGTTGCATCAAATTTGTTTTCACACTTTGAACCCAAGTACCTCCTTTGACTTCTTATCTTAATTCTACAAGATATCGTCACATCTTGTGTCCTCTGTTCATTTTGGCCCCTGCAAACTTGCCTTTCCTATGACAGTACTTCCATCCTTGACTCCGTTCCCAGTTCCAACCACTAGGGGGCAATATTGCACAAATAAAGAAAAATTAAGCCAGAACTACCAAAAAAAAAGGGGGGGGGGGATGGGGCGGGTAGTTTCAGAGGGAAAGGGCCATTAATTTAGGAAGGAGACAAACCAGACTTTTCTAGTTCGCATCCAACTCACTGCCCAAGGTCAGTGAGTTGTGAGACACAGCACAAAGGAGCCATTCAGGAGCAGGGAGGCTGGCTTGGGGGGAAACGCGTGCACCACCTCCTTTTGCGGTTCCCCTGGATGGGGCACAGGCACGTCCGTGCACGTGTGTGTGGATAGATACTGGGCAGCAGCAGGACGGAGTGGACTGGGCGGGAATCTGCTAGATCCAATGGCGCGCTGGCTGACCGCCTCTGCACATGCCCCGAGACAGGTTTACAACAGCGCTGCTGGGAAGTCAGCACTCACCCTGCCCCCCTCCACCCTCCCCTTCCTCCCCATCTCAGGAAAACCAATTCCGGAGGGGACGTAAGGCTCGCCCATGGGCGCACCATTTAGAGATGGTGCATTCAGCCAGGGGTCCGAACTCAAGTCGGTGCTAGGGACATGTCTCACCTTCTCATTCCTCCTGTAATAACCCTACACACACACACACACACACACACACACACACACACACACTCACTCGACATTCGCACCTGGACAGCAAGCACTACGGTACAGATGGATGTAGCAGGGAAGGCGCGGGCTCCTGGGACCCTCTCCCCGGAGCAATACCCGGGAAACTGCGTGTGTAATTTCAAGCAGTGAGGGATGATGGGTGTGGACCACAGACCTCCTGCAGCCAGCCCGTCCATGCATAGGGTTCCGAGTTCAGGAGAAATTCTGTTCTGGATGGAGCCTAGATTAGCAATACAAAGAACCTGACGGGCTGGGGAGGCGGAGTCAGCAGGGGCGCCCCACCTCCTTCCAGACGCCACCGGGGCTCCGTCTCAGAAAACGGGCGGGGCTTGGAAGAAAGTCTGGACGAGAAGTCTGGAGCGTCCGGGTTGGGCCTCCTCCCCCATTCCCCCGGTCTCCCAACCCCACCCCAGACCCACACTTCCAAACGCTGGCGCCGGGGTTCGGCGGCCGAGGACTTGGGGGGAAAAAAGAGCTGCGAACACCTGGGCGGCAGGCAGGCGGACAGCGCACAGTGGCTTTTCTTTTCAATGTTTCCTTAAATCGTCTGCGCCCGAGACTGACGCGGGGACTCCTTCCCTCACCCCACCTCCCGCACGCCCTCTCGCTCTTTCTCTCTCTCTCCACTCCCCCCACTCCCCCTCCTCCACCTCCATCCCGGCCGCTGCACCCGCCTCCCGGCCTCCCGCCCCGCCTCCGCCTCCGCGGGTTTTCTCTCGCCGTGGAGTGAAATCTACATAGCGACCGCCCCTCTCAGAGATCATTGGCTCAGCCCCTGCCCGTAGCGGCCGGTGATTGGCGGGCCGCCCCGAGTCATTTGCATGCCGGCCAGGAGGCTGCGAGGTACCCAGCTGTGAGGCGGCGCTCGCCCCGCAGAAGTTTGCCCGGCGCTTCCCAGCTGCCCGGTCCCGGGCTCGCGCCGCGCGGAGAGCCGCCGCCTCCTCCTGCTTCTGCCGCCGCCGCCTCCCCCTGCTTCTGCCGCCGCCCTGTTCTCTCGGGGTTCGTTGTCTGAGGGGACAGACGCTCCGCTTGCGGGAAGTTGAGGCGAACGAGGGCGAGTGCTGAGGAGCCGCGGAGGGCGCCGTTCCTGTGACAGCGTTGAGTCCCGACGCCGGGCGCGCGCGGGGCCCCGGCCTCGGCCCGGGCGAACCTCGCCCACCTCCCCGCGGCCGCCGGGCGGGCGGCGGGCGGGCGATGCGGCCGCCGAGTCCCGCGGCGGCGTCGACCAGGAGGGCGCCCCGGAGGGTCTAGAAGAGAGCTTGTTTCTGCCCCTTGGAGACGGGAGCATGGAGTCGTGAGCGCTCCCCTTCCCCCGCACTCCGCTCCCCCGGCCGGCGAGGCCGCCGCCGCCGCCGCCCCCCCGGGCAAACTCCCCATGGCCGGGACGTACAGCTCCACTCTGAAGACGCTGGAGGACTTGACCTTGGACTCCGGCTATGGGGCCGGGGACTCGTGCCGCTCCCTCAGCCTCTCGTCCTCCAAGTCCAACTCGCAGGCGCTCAACTCTTCCTCGGCGCCGCCGCAGCCCCGCGGGGCGGCGGCCTGGTGGTGCTACTCGGGCTCCATGAACAGCCGCCACAACAGCTGGGACACGGTGAACACGGTGCTGCCCGAGGACCCCGAGGTGGCCGACCTCTTCTCGCGCTGCCCGCGCCTCCCCGAGCTGGAGGAGTTCCCCTGGACCGAGGCGGACGTGGCCCGGGTGCTGCGCAAAGGCCGGCGGCCGGCCCTCTTGTCGGCCGAGGCGGTGCGGCGCCTGGCGGGGCTCCTGCGCCGGGCGCTCATCCGCGTGGCCCGCGAGGCGCAGCGGCTGAGCGTGCTGCACGCCAAGTGCACCCGCTTCGAGGTGCAGAGCGCCGTGCGCCTGGTGCACAGCTGGGCGCTGGCGGAGAGCTGCGCGCTGGCCGCCGTGCAGGCGCTGTCCCTGTACAGCATGAGCGCGGGCGACGGGCTGCGCCGCGGCAAGTCGGCGCGCTGCGGCCTCACCTTCTCCGTGGGCCGCTTCTTCCGCTGGATGGTGGACACGCGCATCTCGGTGCGCATCCACGAGTACGCGGCCATCTCGCTGACGGCGTGCATGGAGAACCTGGTGGAGGAGATCCGGGCCCGCGTGCAGGCCAGCCAGAGCCCCGACGGGGGAGGGGCCGGCGGCGGCGGCGGGGAGGTGTCCGCCGAGGCCCTGGAGATGGTCATCAACAACGACGCGGAGCTCTGGGGCGTCCTGCAGCCCTACGAGCACCTCATCTGCGGCAAGAACGCCAACGGTGAGTGCGCCGGGCCCCCCGCCGGGGGCAAGGGGGGTGGGAGAGACCCGGGGGGGAATGTTTTAGGAGGAAGCTGGGGGGCGTGCCGAGCCCCCTTCCCCCCAGAGGAAGCGTTTTTTGATCTGGACATGGACAGTGAGTTCATTCAAGGGCTCTTGCCCGAGTGGTGGTGCTTCTGGCGAGAGGCTTTGGGAGGGTTGATCGCCACCCGGTGCCACGCGTGTCCCTGTCACTTTCTGGGAGCCGTGCGCGAGTTGAGCGTCCGGACCAAGCCATTTCTGAACCCCCCTGGAAGGGACGCTTACTGCCCTGCGCTCTTGGCCTCGCTGGAGGGGACCTATAGGCGGCGTCTTTCCCCACAGCTGGTTCTGCCCACTGGGTCTCTCCAGCCTATTCCGTCGCAGCCAGAGGGTCCCAACTCTTCTAAGACCTGAGCCTTGGATAAGTGGGGTGGGAGGAAAGGAGCAGAAAGTCCCGGACCGGTGCTGCCTTCCTGGGCTTTGCTGGGTTGAAGGATGCCCGGCGCAGCGCTGGGTTCTTAACCCTGTGTGCGCCCAGGGTGATAGAATTCGGGGATTCCCGGCTCCTCTTCCCAGGAAGGGAGCCATCCACTGGCTCGCAGGGCCTGACTTTCCAAGCTGTCACCACCCACGTGAGCAATGGATGGGAGCCCTGTGTTGTACTAAACGCACCCTCGTAAGGGTTTTTCTGAAGGAAACATTAACCCGGATGACCCAGTACACCACGCGATGGGGGATGGGCCACTGCTTGGTGTCAAGACGGGGAAAGAGACCGTTGGGTAGTTGAACGTCTCTGAAGGATGATGACATGGCTTCCTGCAAAGGATGGAAGGGAAGCACTTGACCTTCTCCCTAGCAAGGTTAGGGTGTGACACGCTCCACAGCAAACTGCCTACCAGACTCCTATTTCAGGAGTCAGCAAACCATAAATTATTTAGAATGGTACTATGGCTAGTCATCCTAGCAACCTGATTGGAAGGCCATTTGTGGGGGCAGCTTTCGGTGGCAAATGAGCATTCGGTGGAAGAGGCCCGGTGGGTACTGGGAAAGGCATACAGAGAAGTTACATTTAAACCTGGTTTAACCTGACCATACTAGCTAAAATTTAAAATTAGCACTTAACGTTTCCATCTCTGTTCTTAGCACTTTATACGTTACCTCGAGTCATCCTAGCAACCCTATTAGGTGTAGTAGTATCCCCATTCTACAGATGGGGAAACTAAGGTACCCAGCAGTGACGTCATTTGCCCAAGATTGCACAGATGTTAAGGGACAGAGCTAGAACGTGAACCCAGGCAGGGTCCAGAGATGAAGCTTTCAGCCAGTGGAAAAAAGGAAACAGTTTTGTTTTTATTAGCCCCAATTCCAAGAGGAGCCGTCGGCTTCTTAGGCCTCCCTGTAGGCCCGTCTGTAGGTGTTAGTGTGGCTGACTTTGACTTTGACTTTCGCTGGTTTTGCTTTTAATTCCGGCACGGCCAGAGACGCCTGCAGTGGGAGAGCGCTCGCCTTTTCATTTTCCTCCTCTGAGGTCAGAGTTGAGGTCAGTCCGGAATCTCAGTTGATGATATCACAGCTGATAATTGGGCTTTGCCCTCCAGGTTTGTGGCACAGGGAACACCTCCCGGGGAGGAAGTGTGGAGGGCAGGGGGGTTTCCATCAGTTGTCATAGCCCAGGGGAAGAGTTCTGGAATTCTGGCTGAGGGGAGGCCCGAGCTTAAAGTCAAAGAGGTAAAGACTCCTCGAGAGAAGACTGAGGCCCTAACCCCATAAACTAGGGGTGTCGAACTCAATCAGAGAAGGGGCCAAAATCTAAAATCCAGCCTAAATCATGGGCCGAATGGTTTACTGAACAGTCATAAACTGTCATTGTGATGGAAATGCAGTGGAGTGCAGTGATGACAGCGCGGTGCGGGCCACATTGCAAGGCCTGGCGGGACGGATTTGGCCCTCGGGCCTTGTGTTTGACACATGTGCCATAAACCAAACTAGAACGAAGGTGGACTGATAGGTGCCCAACAAACAAACAAACAAAACCATACACATGCCCTTCACCAGCCAGCCGGCGCCCTGCAGCCTCAGGAACTTCTCAGCGTTTCTAATGACACAGGACAAATCGAGGCTCGTAAGGGCAGTTGCCTCGCTAGGGTCCCCTGAAAATGCAGAGTGACCGGAAATGGCTGAAACACAGGTGTCTTCCACAAAAGGGCCGTTTCTTACCTAGTGTCACCACTCCTTGGGATTTTCTCGATTTGTCCTCCTCCCTACCCCTCTCCCCCAGCCCAAGCAATCCTTCTTAAGTGATGCTGGTCCGGACAGCACAGCTCCCTGGACAGCCCCAGCAAGCATGTCCCTCTTTGCCCTCCCTTGCAGGCGAGTGACCATTCGCTTCCACTTAGGAACATGGATGCTCATTCTTTATACATGAAAACCTGGAGGTGGCCTCTGTCCACGATAACTAGGCTGATTTATTGAGTCTCCGCAGACCAAGTGAAATGAATGTTTGGTAGCGGAGCAATGAATTACGCGGGCCCGAAAGCTGACTTCGGAGGGGAAGCATAAACTGCCGAGGAGAGACACCGAGAGATCCAGACCTTTTTTTTTTAATGCAAACATAAGCCCAAGGCCGGCAAGCCTCCCTTCGCCACAGCTGAAGACTAAGTGGGAAATGGCTGCACACATTTCCCACTTAGGAGGGAGAGGGCTGGTTCCTTTTCTAGTCCTACTGGTCTTCCCTTGAAATTATGTCTTTATTGCCATTGTGCCTGCTAATTCTAGGGCAGGGGCACATGCCTTTGGCTCAGCTCTACGGGGCTCTTAAACTTTTATTGTGTTCCAACCGGGACTTTAAGGGCCCAGGTCCATCCATGCCTGTCCATTACTCAGAGTGCCGGGCAAATAGGGTTTTGCTCAGCCCGAGATGGGCCGTAAAAGTTCTGTGGTGTTTATAAAACATGATCTCATGGTGCAGCAGGGAATTATATGTCACCTGCTCGCTTGGTATCGATGTCCGTGTTCCCAGGATGGTGTCATTAAGTGATGATATCTTAGCGGCTTCCCTCCGGGAGGTGGAGCCTCCACTTGAATAGAGTTGTGTTTCTAAAGGCGGCGTTGGCCGGATACGAAAACCCCTCTCATTCCCTCTCACCCTCTCATCCCTCTGTGCGAGTTGGATGCCGGGCCTCTTTTTTTAATATATTTTATTGATTTTTCACAGAGAGGAGGAGAGAGGGATAGAGAGCTAGAAACATCAATGAGAGAGAAACATTGACCAGCCGCCTCCTGCACACCCCCTACCGGGGATGTGCCCTCAACCAATGTATTTCAATACATGCCCCTGACCGGAATCGAACCTGTGACCCTTCAGTCCGCAGACCGACGCTCTATCCACTGAGCCAAACCGGTTTCGGCTGGGCCTCACTTTTGGGTTCCTTCTTGGACTTTTTTTTTTTTTACTTAGCTTTTATGAGTTTGCAAGGCACTTGAGAAAGTTCTCTTCAATCGTGAGGCTCCAGGTTCAATGATTGGACTTTGGTGAGAACAGTCTTACTCCAACACAGTAACCAGAATGTGCTCTGTCATTGTGACAAAGAGTGCAGAACTTAGAATCACAGTGAGGGTTCGAAGCTCATCTCTGCCATGTAGATGAGTGGCCTGGGGCAAATGTCTTAACCATTCTAAGCCTCAATTTTGTTGCCTGTAAAATGGGAGATAATGACAGCCCTTAACTGGAGGTTTGCATGAGGATTAGGTGAGATCATGAGGATTAGGTGAGATCAGAGATTTAAAGATCATAGCACGTCGTAAATGCTGGATGAATAACAACAGTTCACTCAACAAACATGTACCGAACCCTGGTCCTGTGCCCTCCACTGTGAAAAGTGCTGTGCATTAAGTTGGTGAAGAGAGGGAAAAGGTCCTCCTCTCGTGAGACTTACAAACTAGTGGAGAAGACAAAAAAATAAACAAATAGGGATACGCTCTTTTATCAGTAAAAAAGATACGCTCTTTTTTACTTTAAAAAAAGAGAGAGAGAAAAGGCCAAGGAAACAGGATGTGACTGGGGCTAATTTAATGCCAGCCAGGGAAGGCCTCTCTGCAGCTTTATTAGCAATAGGCGATCTATCAAAACTACTGCTGGCTCAGTCCCTCCAGGCAAAAGATCGTGACCGAGAACGTTCCTCAACTATTCAGTTATCAGCTGAGGCAAATCCTACAAATGGCTGCAGCTGGGACCTAAAAGGCTGCATCCCTAGCAGGGATGAAAACTCTCCCTCATTGTAGGACCCAGCTAGCGAGGAGATTAGGGGATGAATCGCCACTGAGATCATGCACAGACGGTGAAGGGAGCTGCTAGTTGCTATTGAATCCGTTTCCATACCTGGGTAGTCTGAGGGAGGAGAGCAGCTTCCCATCTTGGATATTTTATTGAAGCCTAGGATGGGGGGAAGGAGGGTAAAAGTGAGAGCTTAGGAAATGAAAACTTATCTCCCCTCCCCTGCTTCCTTGAATGTCTGAGAAATGCAACTCAGCCTTACGCAGTTAGAGGAACAGGTGGAGTTCTGCTTCCTCCAGGGAGCGTTCCCTGACTCCACCCCTGCCTGGAAGAGCCACCTCTCCTGGCATCTCCACGGCGCCCAGAGCGCGTTCTGGAACCACTTCCTGCTGTGTCTGTCTGTCTCTCTCCTCAGTCGCAGCTCACGGGCATGGTGCCTCCCTGTGCCTCACACTGTTGGGCAGAGTGGATCCTCCATAAATGTTAGGCAGTCGATGGCGCATCCCATACAGAACGTTTAATTCCAGAAATTGAATTTGAAAGCCCTCTACCCCTTGGAAGAACCTTCCCTGCTTTCCACCCTGGCAGGGAATGTCACATTCTTAATAAACAGAGATAGAGTTGGGGGGTAGGCGGGTACCCAAACCACAGAGACATCATTCAGCCGTTTGATATTCTAGTTTCTAGCAGGGCACCCCAGGCCAGCT